TGAATAATGCAGTGTTTCCATCTGTTGTCCACAACTCTATTGATCCTTTCGGTAGATGACACAAAGTGCCTGCCCACAATTGGCTGTCCTTTTTCAAGATGTACCACTCCAATTAACATACGAAATGCTAGCAACTACTAAGAGCAAGGGAATATATTTTCTCCATTCCTTAGTATCATTTCTTGTGACCATTCTGGCTGGATATGGCTCTGTTCCAGTTCCGATGATGGGATGGCTGTCTCCTGATTGCTCAGCTGCACACATATGGAACAAAATATTTTCATGTGTGGATTTTCTGTTGATAGTATGTCATCCCGAATGCCGTTTAAGAAGGGTTCTGATTAAACGGATTGTGTGAATCATCTTTTAAGCCTCTGTCCCCTGAAGTGGCATCGCTGAACCCTTTGCTCAGGATGGCTTCGTTTTCCAGCCTTCTCTTTTCAACTATGCATTTTCATAATTGTACTATGCTAACTATTGGGTTAGATTTACTAGCTGTTGTTTATTTTTCCACTTACATCAAACTGATGCCTCTTTACAAATCTTTTTTGAAAGGAGCATCATTACTGCTATTTGCTGTATATATTTTAAGTTCCCTTTTGCACAATTCTTGCAGGATCTAGTTTGTCCAAGATGGTTATGAGTTCTCTGAGTGCTACTCTGCATTGATTTCTGTCCTTGTACTTCGCAACTCGCTTCACATTGTTTCATTTGTGGACACCATCCTTATGTTCAGTGCAAAGTTTTATTTCCCCTCTTTTGTTTAATCCTGTTTTTGGACATTGCAAAGAAAGCTTTAATTTTGCTATGTTTTAATTATGTAACATGTTTACTGAAGTTTACTGAAGTATATATTTATAACATTTCGGAACCTTGCTCAATAATTAATATTTCTAAAGTACCAGTCTGAAGAAAGAATGTAGAACAGTGGTCTTCAGCGTGTGTACACTTTCAAGTCTTCTTTATTTCACAGGGTTCCTAGGCCGGTGTTTTGCCAGTCCCATATTCTGAAATATAGCCTACAGCACCTGATATTAATTGACAGTCTCCCATCCGACTATCCTCAAATTGTTTTTCTACTGAGATACTTCCCCCCCTTGGCCTCCATGGCTCTGAACTGGAAACTGCTAGTTGCCCTTCAAGGCCAGTTTTTCATTTGCTTCTAGTTGCATATAAATTTTAATATATGGGAGAATACGAGTAATTTAACCCTCTTAAAATTTTCCAACCCTACCTGTGGAAACGTTCAGCTTTTTAGAAGATAGGGAGAATACTCATTTCTAGATCGCTTTGGACTCGCTGGGCAAAACTCAAAATGGAAATGCTTTCCTCTCCCCCTCCAGAAATCCCACCTCGGTCTCTCTCTTACCATGGAATCATAGAGTTGGAAGATCCATCCAATCCAACTCCCTGCCAAGCAGCAGGAAAACCACATTCAAAGCACCCCAACTTTGTATTAGATTCCAAATGGGGCTACAACTGAAATGTTCACCTTCTCTCACCAAAGATGTTAATCGGACACAGTTCAATTGCTTCCCCTCCCCCCTCTTTCAGACTGGTACTAACCACTAACAATTTTATTTTAAAATTTTGCATTCATATGTGCGTTATGACACAAAACATGGGGCTCTACTGTCCTTGATATTTGAACAAGATTTAAAGTCAACAAAACTGTATGTTCAATTAAATTCGTCTCTGTTTCACTGAGGAAAAGCAGAGAGGAAAATACGCTTTGGCAAAATACTTAGCATGAACAGCCTGCTAAGTTTATTTAATAATAATAATAATAATAATAATAATAATAATAATAACTACAACAACAACAAAACTTTATTTATACCCCGCCACCATCTCCCCAAGGGGACTCGGGGTGGCCTACATGAGGCCAAGCCCAACAACACATCAGTAATACACTGCAAACTCAACAATTATTTTTATATTGAAGTTGGACTCCTTTAATGAAACTTTACAAATTTAATGCCTTTCCTTTCTCGCTAAGTAATGTTACAGTTGTCTCATAGTCTTCCATTTTAATGCATTTCCTAAGTGCTTGGTCTTTCACTGTTTGTATGCATCAATGTAAACAAAGTAACCTATGTTGCATGACCTATTTCTGGCAAACTAAAGTTCATTGTGAAAAACTCCAAAGCAATTCCTTAAAAATCAGTGGCCTCCTGCTTCAACTTTCCACAGGAGACCTCTAAAAATATTACCTTCAGATATAAAGGACTTTATTATTCTATTGGATTTAAGTCAAGACTGGTTTGTGTTCAGCCCTTTGCTAATGAAGCTTGTCAAATGTGCCTCTTGTAATTTTGAGACATTGGAAAAATACAGTTGCTGGCAACAGTGATGAATCATTTGGAGAAAAATGTATGGTGTTTTAAAACAAGTAATTCAATACTGTTGGCCCTCAGTCTCTGCTCTTCATCAAATGAGTGTAGACACTAAACTCCAGAAGTTTCTGCAATTTACTGGCCAATGTTCTCTGGTATGAAGGCCAAATAAAATGTCCACTCTTCACACACGGAGAGCAGTTTTATTAAAGGATTGTAAAGCTGGCCTAATACCATCTACATCTTAGTAGCTCAATAGCTTATCCGGAAGAGAGCTTGAACATGTGTTCTTGGTCAAAACATCTAAAAGATTTACTGTCTGAAGATGCCAACCACAAATGCAGGTGAAACATCAGGAGAAAATGCTGCTAGGACATGGCTATACAGCCCTCCAGCTAAAAGATGTTAGGAAACCATTTACTTTTTCCCACTTGTTAATTAATTCCTAAGTAATGTAGCTATTAAACACTGTTTTTTTGCATCAATAATGCAAATAATTTGAGATTAGCTGTAACACTAAAAAACCAAAGCTGACTGTAGAATAAGATTGGGCCCACCCTGCCTCTTGCATTAAATAGAAAAGAATCTTCCATTTTCTCTCAGGTAAGTTCTTTCACCATTCAGCAGCAATCCTATGTGTCTTATGACTTTGTTCTATTAAGTCTGAATTGGTTTGTGTGTTTTCGTTAATGGCATTGAATGTTTGCCACCTTTTGTGTGGAAACAGCCCCAAGTCCTTTTGGGGAGATAAGAGTTGTTTATAAATATAGTATTATTATTATACAGGGTGAGACAACATAACTTCCTTTTTTCAAAACTTAATAAAACCCATTGTATGAATCAGAAAATTTTATTTTTTTATAATGTAGGCTCATACCTAAAGTTTTGTTTTACGTAGTTTTGAAGATCAAATTAGGTAGGTGACGTCCCCCATTATCCATACACTGAGTAAACCTATTTCTGGCGTTTGTCATGACTCTTGCCAGCATAGCAGGCGTTATGTTGGCAATTTCTTCCTGGTTGTTGGTCTTCAAATCTTGTAGGGTCCTTGGACGGTTCACATAAACACGGGATTTCAAAAAAAAACCCCGTAGAAAAAAATCACAAGGGGCCAAATCTGGAGAGCGAGCCAGCCACTCCAAATCCGCTCGTAAAGTAGGCCTCAACGGCAAAAGCATGCTCCTCACTGTTCCAATGCATGATGGCGATTGAACTGTGTCAGGACAAAACTTTATACTCCCGCCTCTCCAACAAGACCACTTGTTCAGCAAGCAATCTATTAGTCCTTGTTTGTCTTGGAAAATGTTTCCTAACTTTAAGACCAATTTGTCAGATGTGTAAGAAATGCTGTTCCAGAAAAATCTGAAATTCTAGAACTAGTTCCATTTTGATCACTTTAACAAGTTTTAAAAGAGTGAATATTTAAACTAAATGCAGACACTTTCTGTTATATGATCGTACACGATACAAAGAATACTGTGAAGTCTTGAGATCAGCTGGTGTTTCATTCAGTCAGGTTGGTATCCACGAATACCACAAACCATGGATGCTCAAATCCAATGCAATACTAAAATGACGTCCCCAATATAAAATGGTAAACTGAAAATGGGTGTCAGAGCTAGATTTGAGAAATAGGAGCCTATAGCATAGAACTTGACGCACAGCAAAATTAAGGTCTATTTTTTGGAGTTTTTAATGAGTTAATTGGTTAAGGGCCAAGTGTGCTAACAACACTGCTATAACCTCTGAATGTTTTGATCAACATTATGGAATTACACTTTCCTATTATTACATTAGCTAAGGAGCTGCGGTAGCGCAATGGGTTAAACCTTTGTGCTGGCTGAAATGCAGACCAGTTGGTGGATCGACTCCGTGAGATGGGATGAGCTCCCATCTGTCAGCTCCAGCTCCTCAAGCGGGGACATGAGAGAACCCTCCCACAGGATGGTAACACATCCGGGTGTCCCCTGGGCAATGTCCTTGCAGATTGCCAATTCTCTCCCACCAGAAGCAACTTTCAGTTCCTCAAATTGCTTCTGACACGAAAATAAATAAATAAGCTATCCTATTTAGCAAAACACAGGAAAAACGTGCATCGAGGATCTACAAGTAGCCACTCTGAACAATATTTTTGGCAACCATTTTAACCTGAAAGTTTTTTATTTAATTACATTATGCAACAAAATTTGAAAAAAAGCTGATCCTGGTTTGAAAGTATTATTTCCCATTTAATTGTGTAGCCACAAACTATGTTGAATTTGTTGAGACCTTTGAAAATGTAACAAAATGTGCTGCATGTTTTTCTGATAGAACCAATTAGGAAATGACATTTATAACCCAGGGACAAAAACTGTGTTACATAATGTTGTTGTTGATTCGTTCAATCGTTTCAGACTCTTCATGACCTCATGGACCAGTCCACACCATCACCTCCCCCAGCTCCTTCAGAGTCAAGCCAGTCACTTCAAGGATGGCATCCATCCATCTTGCCCTTGGTCGGCCCCTCTTCCTTTTTCCTTCCCTTTTCCCCAGCATAACTGTCTTCTCTAAGCTTTCCTGTTACATAGTGTTACATAGTATTATCTATCTAGTGTCAGGACTTCTGTTTATGTCTGCAATGCTTTGACCAATTGTTACCCAAAAAAAAGGATTTCCACACATGTGTATCAGTCTTACACAAAAGATGACATTTATTTCAATATGAATATATTGAACTAGAGGTTTAATTCTCCTTCTCCTGGACAGTTTTGGTTCCACGCAGTCTGCCAGTACGCCGGGCCGCAATGAGACCGACCTTGCGACCAGCCGGAGCATCCCTCCTGATGGTTGACGGCTTGCCAATATGCTGGTGGTTTCCACCACCAAAGGGATGTTCAACAGGCTGTGAAAAGAACCACCAGAATCAGGAGCAGAGCAGGAAATGATTTCAAATACTAAGAGAAACACTCTGCAAGGCAAAACCTATAACCCTTCAATAAGCAATATAGTTAAGGGCATTTACTTAAGAGCCATGGAATTGAAGACAGAAGAATATGAAGATACTTTGATGAAAAAAAGATTGCTTTGATCAAGCTGAAGAAATAGCACGCATCACTACAAGAAGAACGAATGTAGTATTTTGCTTTTACATTGATTAATTGTCTTGTTTGAGTTTTGAATAAAATATTTTATATGTAGGAAATTAGCCAGCTACTAAAAGAAGTGGTTTGACTTTAATTATACATGCATAATGCAATATTTGAAGCATTGGCTATGTATTGTCTTCTGCTTAAACTAGAAAACTGACAGAAATGTCTCCATTAGCAATCTGGGACCCAAATTATTTATTTATTTAAAACTTTTGTATCCCCATCTTCTCCGTAGAGGGACTCAGACCGGGAGAAGAGGCGCTTCAGTCATTCCAATTGCTTCTTTGCTTCTCCATCCTAATACTTTGTGTATAAATGAGCATCCCACCTCAGCGGAGAGCTAGCAGCTCCATCGGCCTATTTTGCTTTTGGAATGTGCTCTGAAGCATTGGGTTACAATTAACATTTGTATAGTCTTGAGTGGTTTGGAAGAGACAGCAGATCACCACAGTTAAACAAGCCAGGCAAATGCAATAAATAGAAGAGCTGCTTACATTCATAGCTACACCACGGACACGTGGCCAGCAGTTCCTCTTTGCCTTGTATTTGTGGTACGCACGTCCAGCTTTCAAGATTGGCTTGTCAATACGGCCACCACCAGCAACAATACCTGTAAAATATAAGGAGTTTTTGTGTTCCCCTTTCTAAAAAATAATAGTTCCAAAAAGAAGTACTGGATTTACATAAAAGATAAAGCACCCCTGGTCATTAGTTTTAAAAACAATCAGCACTATCTTATATACAAGCATGTCTCCCTTAACAAGTTAACTGAAAAAGCAATTTATTTTTTCAGTCTTTTATAGATCCATCCAGATCCTGTTTTCTGCTTCATCCTTGGCATAGTTGAAAGTTATAGTTTAGTAAAACTTGGGTTGGGAGGGAATCAGATTTGACCATGTGTCCTGCTTACAATGGGCAAGGTAAACAGCAGCTGTCCCCAAAACATTAGAGATGCAATTACTTCATGATCATATATTATAATAACATCTGGTTTGGTTTACGATCAAGGTCCACCTCCCCACATTAGGGAGGCTAGAGGACTACACTGGCTTTCTCCAAGGTTAATTAATGCTACTATATAAATAAAGCAAACGCTCTGACAAGAAATGATGAACTTGCTCTTCTTACATAACATCTTGCATATAAAATAAAGACAGGAAGCCAGAAATCTTTTTAAACACTCTTATTTCACCAGTCTGTAAAAATACTTGCATTAGAAATGCCTGCATGTTAAAGGCAGGGATGCTTTCCATGTCCCTGGCTGTTATTTTGTATTTCTTTCCAAACTTGTGGTCCTCTGGGGTCTACTGGGAGAGAGGCCCTTTTTACAACAGGAAATAATTTCCTGTTTCTTCTCTGATCAAAAATGTTAACCTACAGTAGGAACACACCAAACTATATGCAGAAAAGGGCAAAAAGCAGGTTAAATATTTAAATGCCCAACATTGAGTATCTTGAAATGCCCTGATGCTGCCCAAAAGGTTACTCTTAATTCAACTGTTATTCAAAGATTTCATGATGAAAATCAAAGGGGTGTGGGGAAAAATTGACCCTTGTGTCTCTTACCGAGTTTTTTTTTGGGGGGGGGGGGGGAACAAAGTATTTTTTAAATGAGCAGTAGTTGTGGTTTTGTAGTCCCCTGCAGCACCAATGCAGCCTTCAATTCCCAACTGGTCTTAATGTGCCCTAAAATTCATTTTTGATTTATAAAAATCATAGAGCTGGAAGAGACCACAAGGGTCATCCAGTCCAGCCTCCTGCTCCAGAACAATTCTGCAATGCGGATGGTAAAAATTACTACAATGTCCTATTCTAACACTTCCAACCAAATGCTTTGAGGTTTGAAAAATGTGACACACATTTCAGGTAACACTTACCAACAACTGCTCTGTTTGCAGAGGAGATCACCTTCTTGGAGCCAGAAGGCAGTTTCACTCTGGTTTTTTTGGTTTCCGGATTGTGGGAGATAACTGTGGCATAGTTTCCAGAAGCACGCGCTAGTTTGCCACGATCTCCAGGCTTCTCTTCAAGGCAGCAGACAATGGTGCCTTCGGGCATAGTACCAACAGGCAGGACATTGCCAATGTTGAGTTGAGCTACAAGAAATAGAAGATTTTAAAAAGGGGCAGTGTCACTCTGGGTGAAAATATTACTCAAACGTCTACCTTTCCAATCTAATTATCTATTTTCAAGAAACATGCACCATTTCTTATCAGCTGTACCTACCTTTCTTGCCACAATAAACAAATTGCCCAGTATGAATGCCTTCTGCTGCAATGAACAATTCTGTTCGTTTCTTAAATCTGTATGGATCACGGAAAACAACCTTGGCAAGAGGAGCTCCTCGACCAGGATCATGAATGATATCCTATTGAAACATAATAATAATAATACTTTATTTCTAAATTGCCCTATCTCCCAAAAGGCACTCAGGGTGATGAACAACAAAAGATCGGCAAACACTCAATGCCTAAAAACATAACATAATAAATCACTTCAAATAATAATCAAATAAACAACATCAGGATATACTTAGAAAACAACTCAAACTAATAGGTGAGAAATTTAAATATACAAAGAAAATAATTGGAAACATTTCTCTAATGACTTTAGTAAGGGCCAGAAGTAATTAACACATTTAAAACATATCATACCGTTAACAATAGGCCATCCGGGTGAAGGTAAGTCTCCATTACATAATTGTAATTTAATAATTTTACAATTTTAAACATATTATTAACTAACTAATAATAAATATTAGGAACAGAACCATTCTTCTTAAGTATTTACTTCCATTGTTGCCAAGTAAAAAGATCTAGAATTTGGCAAGTATTTAATCATATTACATGGCCAAAGTAAGTACGAGTTGTCCCACTTCCAAATATTTAAAATCCACACAGCAATGTTACATAATAAATACTGGAGTTATACTTCAGTACAAACTAAACAACAGGGATTTTTTAAAAATCAAACTTATGAGGAATTAATCTGATTTATAAAAATTGTATTTGCATAAAAGTCCTACTATCTTTAACAGTAAACTTTTGGGTATTCAGCCTTTTGTATAATTCTCAAATCGTTTCAACCCATCTGTTTTTAAAGAAAAATCGAATCCTGAATTCGTTGTTTTGAAATAAAGTACTAATACTTTCAGGGTTATCCATCCGCAGATAAGAAAAAGTGGTTAGTAGCTCCGCATTTTCTTATATTTGCCTACTCTTCATGATAATTCAGCCAGGATACATGAAACCACAACATAGTGAAGCATATTATTACCTTTACAATACCCTTGATGTAGCCATGTCTTTCAGCAAAGTCAACTGCTCTCAGCTTTGCTGCACCTTTTCTGTGCTTCACATGGGCCCTGAACACAGATCCTGCACCTTTTCTTTGGCCTCTGATTACTCGGCCCATTGTGTCCTGGACAACAATTCCAAAAGACAAAATGTTGAGAATAAAGGATTTTAGTCAGGCAATCCTCAAATCACGAACAAGATAGGTTCTGTAGTTTGTTCTTAAATTGAATTTTAATATTTTTATATAAAAAATTATATAATTTATAAAATTTATAAATTTATAAAATTATATAATTTTTATTTACATACATTTTTATAGTGGAACTCTGGCCGTATAGAGAGTTAGCATAAGGAAGGGTTAACAACAATGTGGAGTTTGTTTTGTTGCTTGTGCCCCCATTCAGAAGATTTCACCTCACTTTGTCCCTCTGATAATTGGATTTTGAAAAATGTGGCTTGATGTGGAAACAAGGATTGGTGACAAAGCTTCAGTGGAGATCATTGATCCCCAAGATAACTCAAGAGTGAATTTCCCTTCCCTTCTCTCATTTCCTGTTTTCTCATCCCTGTTTGTATCTATAAGTTGTTTGTAAGCTGAATGTTTGTAACTTAGGGACTGCCTGTACTAGTCCTGGATGGGCTTCAAAGCCTTCCAATACTAGAATCCACTCTCAATTTAAGTAAGTTGTTGCTTAACTGGGACCCAGAAGACCTTGATCTGATGCAAAAATGTGCCAGTAGCTTTAGATATAACTTTTGCCTACTACCATTAGAAAATGGAAGAAAATTTCATTAGAATGAAATAGAAGTGAATATGAGATAAAATAAGAATCACAATGAATCCACTATAAATTGGAAATTAGAAGCAAAAATGACTAAACTGACAATCATGAGATAATATAACTTATTGGAAAAGACAACAACACCTGGTAAAGGGAAAGGCAGTAGGGAAAGAAGGAAAGTGTCATGGAGCTAGGCTGATTCAACCAAGAAAGCCACCACTCTGAGTCTGCAAGACTGAGCAGGTGAGTTCATGACCAAGGATAATGGGCAGTCCCTTATTCACAGGTTCACTGTAATTCGAAGTTCACTTGCCGAACAACAAAGTTGGAAACGTCCTATACTGCAAAAGCAGTGCTCCAAAACAAGATACAGTTCACTACGACGCAAAGGGAGGAGAGTATACAGGTTGAGTATCTCTTACTCAAAATGTTTGGGTCTAGAAGTGTTTTGTAACTCATCTCCCTTTATGAGCCAGCTAGAACATTAAGATCTGCTGGGGAGGTTCTGCTCTCGACCCCACCACCTTCGCAGGTGCAATTGGTGGGGAAAAGAGACAGGGCCTTCTTGGTGGCGGCCCCTTGGCTGTGGAACTCCTTCCCCAGTGAGATCAGATCAGCACCCTCCCTCCTAGCATTTAGGAAACAACTGAAGACCTGGTTATTCAAGCAGGCATTTGGCAAATGACAGAAATGCAAAGACCTAAATGTTTTCTGTTGTGTCTGTAACTACTGTCAGTTTTATATTTTTAATGGTTTTAACATATTGTCATATGTTGTTGATTTGATATTTATATATGTGAGGCATTGAATGTTGCCATTGACTATGTTGTAAACCACTTTTAGTCCTCCCAGGGGCGAGAAAAGCAGTACATAAATGCAACAAATGATATATAAATTATAAATAACTAAATAATAATATTTTTTTTTGTTGTTCATTCGTTCAGTCGCTTCCAACTCTTTGTGACCTCATGAACCAGCCGACGCCAGAGCTCCCTGTCGGCCGTCACTACCCCCAGCTCCTGTCGGCCGTCACCACCCCCAGGTCAATCCAGTCACTTCAAGGATGCCATCCATATTATTGCCCAATATTATTATAAATAAATAAAATTTCAGATTCTTATGAATTTTTGAAATACTATATTTGCAAATATGTATACACGTAATCTTTGAGATGGGACCCAATCTAAGCACGAAATTCATTTCCGTTTTAAAATATTTTTCAATGCAGCGTTGTTCATATTTTTGGGTATGTAGACAAAACCATCAGAGAGCAAAGAGCACACTGTCAGCCGAGTTGGAAGTGACATATACCCTATGAGTTAAATACTGGGAGTTGAAATAGCAGCATTGAGATGTGGGTTTGGAAGAAATGTCGTAATGTGTTGCATGTGTCAGTTTTCCCTTTTCTTCTCCATTTGCCCTTCATGTTGCTTTACGTGGCTGAAATTACATGTTAATAAAAAAACATTTGGAGGAAAAAGAGAAAGCAAACGTGCCACTGTCTCTGTCATTAATGGCCAATTTTGAGGTAATTTGGAGATCCTGATATGAGATGCTGGAACTGTAATGGGTTCGTGGCCCTATCTAAAGCAGGCCTTGGCCAACAGCTTAAGCGGCTGAGGGGGAAAAGGAAAGGGCCTGAGGCTGTTAGGAATGCTGGGAGTTGAAGTCCTAAACACCTGGAGGACCCAAGTTGGCCCAGGCCTGCTGTAGAGGCACCTTCTCTCGAGAACCCTTCCAATTTGCCTCTCTATGGTTTCACAATCGTCTATTATGGTGTCAAGGCCTACTCCACTACTGGAGTCCATGAAGAGCCCGGGTTCACGGGCCCGGCTTAAGACCAGAAAGAGAGCGCCAAATCCCCCATCCTTGCCTCCCAACGTCGGCCCAGCCGGGAGGAAGCCGATGCCACCCTTAAAGGGGGTGCGGAGGGCTTCCTTCCCCCGGATGGCGACGGATTCCCCTGCCCCGCCGCCCTCAGCCTTACCTCCGCGGGGCCTGGCTCGGAAAGAAGGAAGTGCCGGAAGTTCGCTCAGATGTGCCGGGTTCTTCCGGCCGCCCCAAGGCCTGATGGGCAATGAAGTCCTCACATCCGGGAACTTCGGAGTCCCTTCCTCATCTGCATCGGAGCCTGTTGTGAGGAGTGTGTGAGGGACGATTCTTGCTAGTCAGGAGGCCCCATCCTCGCCCAAAGAGAAAAAGAGAGAGGCCACCTTTGAATGGGCTCGGAGTGCCAAGACAAAGGGCGTTGATTGAGAGCCGTTCAGCAGTGGAACTCTCCGCCGCTGAGTGTGCTGGAGGCTCCTTCTTTGGAGGCTTTTAAACAGAGGCTGGATGGCCATCTGTCGGGGGTGCTTTGAATGCAATATTCCTGATTCTTGGCAGAATGGGGTTGGACTGGATGGCCCTTGAGGTCTCTTCCAACTCTATGAGTCAATGATTCTATGACTGCCTTGGCTCAATGCTTTGGAATTGCCGTTTGGTGAGGCACCATCAGCCTTTGGCAGAGAAGGCCAAAGTCCCCAGGATTCCAGGGCAGTTAAAGTGGTGTCAAACCGCATTAATTCTGTGGCATGCATCTTCAAACTGCCACCTTTGAGCTGTTTGGGCCTTCAACTCCCCAAAATCTGACAATTGAACAAGCTCCTTTGGGCTTTTGGAAGTTGGAGGCCCAAACAACGGGAGGACCACAGTTTGAGGATGCCTGGTGTAAGGCGCATGCTAAACAAAGGAATTTCACTCTATACCAGTGTTTCTCAACCTGGGGGTCGGGACCCCTGAGGGGGTCGCGAAGGGGTGTCAGAGGGGTCGCCAAAGACCATCAGAAAACACAGTATTTTCTGATGGTCATGGGGATTCCATGTGGGAAGTTTGAGCCAATTCTATCGTTGGTGGAGTTCAGAATGTTCTTTGATTGTAATGAACTATAAATCCCAGCAACTACAACTCCCAAAAGTCAAGGTCTATTTTCCCCAAGCTCCACCAGTGTTCACATTTGCGCATATTGAGTATTTGTGCCAAGTTTGGTCCAGATCCACCATTGCGGGAGTCCATAGTGCTCTCTGGATATAGGTGAACTACAACTCCCGAACTCAAGGTCAATACCCACCAAACCCTTCCAGTGTTTTCCATTGGTCATGGGAGTTCTGTGTGGCAAATTAGGTTCAAAATCCATCGCTGGTGGAGTTCAGAATGCTCTTTGATTATAGGTGAACTATAAATCCCAGCAACTACAACTCCCAAATTACAAAATCATTCCTCCCCCAACCCCACTAGCATTTACATGTGGTTGCATTGGGTATTTGTGCCAGTTTGGTCCAGTGAATGAAAATACATCTTGCATATCAGATATTTACATTATGATTTATAACAGTAGTAAAATGACTGTTATGAAGTAGCAACAAAAACAATATTATGGTTGGGGGTCACCACAACATGAGGGACTGTATTAAGGGGTCACGGCATTAGGGAGGTTGAGAACCACTGCTCTATACAGTTGAGGAAAAAAGACTTGAGTCTGCCAGAGCTTTATTCTACTTATTTACTACACTTATACCCCGCCCTCTCACCCCCCCCCCACCTCCCCGAAGGGGACTCAGGGCAGCTTACAAGTTATATGTATGTACAATATTTATTTATTTTATTTATTTACCTCATTTTTACCCTGCTCTTCTCACCCCTGCAGGGGGACTCAGAGCGGCTCACAATAGCAGCTATTCAATGCCACAATACTTACAATTATAAAAGCAGAATAAAATCATACCAATACAACACATTAAAACAACATGAATTATCAATCATAAAAATGTAATATATTAGCATAGCACAATATTAGCATTATATATTACTGTATTGTACTATACCACTATACTGTAATATTATTAGTAATAATAATAATATAATTAGTAATAATTGGAGCCCCCGGTGGCAGAGTGGGTTAAAGCACTGAGCTGCTGAACTTGTTGACCAAAAGGTCGCAGATTCGAATCCAGGGAGTGGCATAAGCACCCGTTGTTAGCCCCAGCTTCTGCCAACCTAGCAGTTCAAAAACATGGAAATGTGAATAGATCAATAGGTACCGCTCTGGCAGGAAGGTAACCTTACAGTTATGCAGGCCACATGACCTAGGAGGTGTCTACGGACAACACCAGCTCTTCGGCTTAGAAATGGAGATGAGCACCACACTCCAGCGTCAGACACAACTGGACTTAATGTCAGGAGAAAACCTTACTATAATATATAATTAATATTATTATATTGTATTATTATTAGTAGTAGTATTATATTGTATTACATAATATTATTAATATATATAAAAGATATTATTTGCTTAGGCTTTGGCTTCCAATTCTTTTAGTATATTACATTACATTATAATATTATCAATATTATATGTATATGCAATATATTATTTGCTTAGGCTTCCAATTCTTGGACTGCGAGAAGATCCAACCAGTCCATCCTCCAGGAAATAAAGCCCGACTGCTCATTGGAGGGAAGGATACGAGAGACAAAGTTGAAGTACTTTGGCCACATCATGAGGAGACAGCAAAGCCTAGAGAAGACAATTATGCTGGGGAAAGTGGAAGGTAAAAGGAAGAGGGGCCGACCAAGGGCAAGATGGATGGATGGCATCCTTGAAGTGACTGGACTGACCTTGAAGGAGCTGGGAGTGGTGACGGCCGACAGGGAGCTCTGGCGTGGGCTGGTCCATGAGGTCACGAAGAGTCGGAGACGACTGAATGAATGAACAACACATATGGCTATATATTGTAAATGTACTATATATATATATATATATATATATATATATATATATATATATATCACACTATATTTTATATATATATAATCTATAATAGTGCTACATGCACAATGGAGGACCTTCTTGCGGCAACACCAGAGGCACTCCAAGTGGCCAGATACTGGTCAAAGGACATTTAAGCAACTACCAAGCTTGCAAACTTTGTGGTTTTTTATAATCTGTTTGTTTGTTTTATTCTGTTAGAAATGTAATACAATGGTCTGGTTGCCCCTGACACGATAAATAAATAAATATCTATAATAGTATAATATATATGGCTATATATTTTAAACACACACATGTGTATATTTACTCTCTCTATATATTGTAAATATACATGTGTATGTCATTTCCGACTAAGACGAGGCCTATGGCAAATCTGTCAGGATTCCTTTTCTCAAGATGTATCAGAGGGAGTTTGCCATTGCCTCCTTCTGATGCTGAGGGAGTGTGACTTGCCCAAGATCAACCATGAAAATATCCATAACTGAGCAGCATATAAATAACTCCATCCAGGGTGACTTAGTAACTGCACATATGCCTCCCTGTTCTTCATATACCTTCTCCCCTCTCTCTTTTCCTTTCCTTCCTTCTCCCCTTCTTTTCAATCTTACACTTTCCTCCTCTTGTTTCTATTTTCCTTTCTCTCCATTTCACCTACCTTCATTTTATTTCCTTTCTCTTCCATTCTTTTTTTCCTTCCTTTCTCCCCTCCCCTCTCTTTCCCCCCTTCCTTTGTCTCATACCTCTTCCACTTTCCCTTCCTTCCATTCATCCATCCATCCTTCCTTTGTTTTTCATCCTTCCATCCTCCCCTTTCTTTTGTGATTTTTTTCTTTATTCCTTCCTTTCTTTTCCCTTTTCTCCTATTCCTCCCACCCCCACATACACACACCTTCCCCCTCCCTGCTTTGTTTTTTTGTTTGTTTCTGATTTTCCTTCCACTTCCCTTCAGGTTGACTCTTTAGTGGATCCAGAGGGTAGCAACCCATTTGTGGCATAACCTCCTCCCTTCTTCCCTCCTTTCTTTCTTTTTTCTTTTGCAGGGCGCTGCTGTGCAGAATCGCTGCCATCATCCGGCAGAGAAAAGCTGCAATGCAAAAGGCTCCCAAGGCAGAGCTTATTATGCAATGCATACCTCACTTTCCCTTTGGCTGGGGAAAGACCTGGGTTGTTGTTCTTCTTCTTCTTGGGGATCACAGTTTTCCCTCCCCCACCCCTGATCCCCCAATGTACACAAACACACATGCCCCAAGCCCTTTGGTATGAACCCTTTGGTATTTGACAGCTGCATTGCAAGCCACAATGGGACACATGAATCTATGCCAGTGCATGCATCTGCAGCAAGAAGGCAAGCTCTTCAGTTTGACGTGCCTCTCAGTTAAAGGGCAATGGAGCCTTCCTGAAAAACAAGGTGATAATCTCAGGTGGAAATCTATCAGCATATAAACACCCCATGCCTCTGCAAAATGCTCACATGATTCAGTGCTCCCTTCTATGTTTTGAACTGCAAAAGAAGAAGCTCCTCTGACTCCCTTCCTTGCATCTTCCCCTCCTCCTCCTTCTCTGACTTCAGCTTGATTTTTTTTTCTCTTTCTGGAAAAATACTGGCAGTGTTGATCCCTGGGGAAGACAGGCAGGATTGGAGAAGGCTCTCTAAACGATGCCTTTTATTTAAGGGCAGGTAGCAGGCATTTTGTTGGCATCGCTTCCTTGTTTGAGAGCAAACGGAAACAATTTGAGCTCTTTCGGAATCATCTCCGCTGACTGCAAGGGAGAAGAGCTTAGCTATAACAAGACAAAGAAGAAAGTAGGCAACAAAACTGTACCCCAAAGGAACTGAGCCTAATAGGGGACAGGTCGCACTGTTGTTTTTCTAAGGACTAGATTAGATTATTAATGAGAAGGATTTCTCATATTTGTGTCTCTAATTTAAAAGCAGCCACAGGGGAGGGGGGATTTGAATGAAGGCCATAAAACTGGGGGAGGAAAACGAACCATTCTGCCCGCATAATTCCCTGTTTAATGAATCTGTAACTGATATTTGCCCCTTGAGTAGAAAATAAATGATGTTATATACTTCCTGCTCTGAAACAAATAGCTCCAGGTGCTATTTAAATTAGAAAATGGGGGGGGGGGGGCAATTTGTGTCTATTGTAGCAAAAACCAGGTGGGTGAAATAGGGGAGAAATAAAATACAAAGCTTAGATGTGTATAAGATGATTACAAAGTTACAATTGAGCGATAGCTCTAAAAGCTTTTGAGTTCTCCAGTAAGAATTC